AAATATATATGTAAAAATACCCTTATTTTGGCGGTCAGACCTCCGCCAATAAAATAAAAACAAAAACAAAAAAACTTTAGGTAAACAACGATTTCTACATTTGCTGTTGATTGAAAAACAAACTACTGGTACGTATTTACTCAGAAACAATTCAAAACGATACCAAATAATTTGCCGTTTGATATAGTGTGATGTTTCCATGAAAGTCAAACGATTTTTTTCGTTATGGTTTAGGCAAAAAGTGTATGGAAAGGCGAAATCTTCTAGCGATTCATGTAGATGAGACGCCATGAGAAGGGGACGGTTACGACTTGTTATCACGAAAAAAAGATTTCAGTTTGACAAATTCTGGGAGTAAAGTTGTTCCAAGTGAAACTGCTTGGATACAGAACACTGCTCTCCATACGTTGTTCTATTGTCTGCCTCCAAGGCTAGCTGTCCATTGAAACCTCGCTTTAGTTTGTATAATGTAAACTATTGAATCTGACCAAGTTACTAAGCACATTATCAAATTGATTATCTAACGTCAGTCCAGTACTCTGGCTCAGTCTTCCTCTCTCTCTCTCTGTCTGTCTATGTTCAGTCAGACTGCCGTCATAGCTGTGTCATTGTCACCTTACAGGGCGCCCATGGACTGTCACTATCACCTCACCCATGATGACGACAGCACGGTCACCCTGGACGCTCACACTGAGGGTACGTACTATAGCAAGGCACGCCGGCAGGTGGCACTCACGTTAACATTTGATTTAAGTACAGAAAGCCCCGCTATATCTCAGCCATATCGACCGTGTCGGTTATCTCATACACAGGCTAAACTGTACTTTATACCGTGTCATAATGATGGTCAAGTTTACACCTCAGATTCAGGTAGAGATAGCGTCCTTGGTGCTGTTTGCGCCGTGATAATACTGTGTTGTAGAGCGGCGTCTAATTCAGACCTGCTGTATGCTATACTGTAGTTTATAATAACCCTCTCAGCTACATGTAGCCTTATCCCTCTCAAGTATCTCTCTAACACCCCATTTCCATAGATTTTTAGATCGATCTATCCCTGTGGGGAGTCTCACTAGATTACTGTCAGCTTGGCCGGCCTAAGCGTCTGTCCCGCCTACCAAAAGCTGTAAGGGGGTAATTAGCTATGGTGCCCGCTCGGCTGACTGCAATTTAGCGTGAACCCCCAGGGAGTTAGGTCGATCTAAATCTTAATCTCTAGATCGATCTAAATCTCTGGGAAAGCACCCTTATAAGAGTACATTCAGAATAGATGATCCGCGGTCTAACTAATCCGCCAACTAAATAAGGCCTACCCCTCTTAGAAGCAAGCCGACTTATCCCCTGATGATCTCCTCGCCACCACAATCGCCATAAAACGGATGAAATATCTGCTCCGAGGTTTAATTTCTAGACCCCTGCAGGAGGAGGCGGGAAGATCATCAGGGGAATAGCGATATCGCTTTTAACTGGGTCGGTCATATTTAGTCCGAGGACCCAGTTAAAAGTTAGCCGCTTATAATCCCCTGCTGGTCTCCCCTCGCAGTCCACACGCGAGTCCCTTAAGCAATAACATGTTAACCTCCGAGCCGAGATTTAATCCGTTTTACGGCGTGTGTCAGCCATATTTAGTCCACGGATCAGTAAGTACGCGGATCATCTGTTCTGAATGCGACCATTGCACTTCAAGTGCTCTAGGAGGCAGGTAGAGGTAATGTAATAAATATAATATTATTTTATTAACACATTACTATTATTATTATTTCGAAAGAAACATCAACGTTAACTGCTAAATACAGTTTTCATATCTAGCTAGTTCACTTTCCGACTGCGTGACCTTTTTTCATTATTTAATCAGCCGCATTGTAACTAACAGCGCGTGATTTATAGCCTGGTTTCATTTGGCCAACATTCATAAGCAGTGTGTTTGTAGACGCCAGACCAGTAGCAGTTATGAATGGACAGAGGGCAGAAATTAGGTGCACGCGGTTTGTGTACCTGATCAATATCAAAGCTTCAAAGCCAGCAACTTCAGCTGAATCACGGGACGGGTAATAACACAAGTGAGCCTGGAAATAGTTTACCTGGCATGGAATACAATTTTTTCTCTACACGTATTGCGATATAAATAATAAATAGAAAGCTTTACAAACACTAAAATTAAACAAATCCGACCATCAACCAAACTGCAGTTTTACAAATATAGAAGCCACAAGGACGATATATCAAGACAAAAGGTAAATGTAATATTGAAACCAAAACCTACAAGTTGCACGGATCATTACCAGACAGACACGTTTGTTAAGTGCTGCAGTTCGTGTAACGTACAGAGTGGACATCGATACTGTATTGACGGACTGTGCTGGTGAAGACGCGTTACTAACAGGAATCACCACCAGATGTCGCAGAGGTTATTTTACACTGAAAGCGTCAGATCATCTGCATACTGCGTTGTTTCAGTACACAAAGTTACTATGTGTATTTTTGGTTTAAAGGACGACGGCTTCACGCCCTGTTCAAGATGACCTTTGTTGGTAACCTGACTGATGACTTATCAGAGAGAAATTTGTCAATATCTAGTCCGTGAGTTCTATCAGTCCCTGGACTTAATTATGACTCCATTGACTCTTGTAGTCTGACAGTCATACAGTCCCAAAATTTATGACTCCATTGACTCGGGTAGACTGAAAGTCATACAGTCTCTAAACTCATGACTCCATTAATTGACTCTGGCTGACCGAGATTTATAGCAAGTATTACATGTTTGTAACACTATATAAAAACTACGGCACTTATGGTCCACACTCATCGGCAAATACTGATGAACTAATAGGGTCAACACACTATTTGACTATATTTTACAGGACTACGTTGATATACGTATAAAGTCAACACAATATTATACTATTTTACAGGACTACTTTTATTTAAGGTCGGTTCAGCTGGATGTGGGACATTATAGCTGCGTTCATAAATTCTCTTTCAATGGACAAGTCACTGCTCCTATTACGTCCCCCATGCCCTGCCAGTTCAGGGGCGGATTCAGAGATATTTTCTGACGGTCTTCCAAAGTTACTTTGTTGACCCGTCCTCCATTTTTGACCGTCTTCCGACAGAAAAAATCCATATCCGTCAATGTAAACTTGAAAATCTGACCGTCTTCTGGAAGACCCAGAAGACGGCCTAAATCCGCCCCTAAATCCGCCCAGCGTTTACTTAACTGTTAACCTGGACAGAATTTCTGACGAATTCTTTGGTTCTCTGGAAATAAAAATAGTGTTAAAATGCAGGCGCAGCGGCCTCCTCACACACAGAGCCAGACACGGGTTTCGTAACGCCAGTGATGACGTAACATGGCCACTTTCAAAGCCGCTTTTTTAACGGACAAAAGGTTGGTAGTGGTGACCTCCACGTGCACTCCGGCGTTTGTTGTTTACATCTGTGCGGGTCTTGTGCTGCGGCGGGATGTGAACGTGACTGGAAACCACGGAAGAAAGGGACATTTTGTCTCCTCTGTGGTGTTAACTTCCACGCTATGTAGGGTGTCGGTATCACAAAATGGGATGGTAGATATATTATGAGGGCTAACGAGCCGTTGCCATGGTGATAATTAGACCATAGGATTTCTAAACAACATATATCAGGATATATGGTTACTCGACCATTCATCAGTCATACAAATATGGCGTCTTTATTGTCAGTTTTATAAAAGCTCCGTGGCCATCAGTAATAGAAGTTAGCCTACGTCGCGTCCAGCGTTTACAGCAAGGGACTTTGCTTTCCGAGTTTGTTTTGTAGGAAAGAGGCGGGGTGAATTAAAACTGCGGTCAAGTAGACATAAAAGACGGTACATAAAGAACGCGTCTACCGAACTGTGGTGTGTAAATCAGCGTGGCACAGCGCAGACAGTCAGCGGAGAAGGAGGAGAGAGGAGAGAGGAGGACCGTGAGGTGCGGGTCAGAAGATACGAGGAGGGACACGCCATCTTGAAGCAGGCTGTTCTTTACCCGCTGTTTACTCTCTGTACAGAAACAATAACGAACACCAAAGACCGCGGCACGACGAGGAATTAGTCGCTTCCGCTGCAGTTAAGTGCATTCGTTGCATTAATTAATGCAATATAGCGTACGTCTGCTACGTACTCCGGGAGACACGCAACGTCAGTTTGCTCTACATCCGGGTACTCTTTCCAGCATCTGCCAGCTTCTGATTAAGAGAAACCAATCTGGCCGAGCTCCTGGAAATGGTATTTCCATCAGATTTTTTTAACAACAGTTGAGATTAAAGTCGACGCTGTAGGCATCTCTTGGTTCCGTGCCGTTTATGTAGGCAACGCGCCACGTGGAAAACGCTGCTACTGAAGCAAAGAACATTAATTACACCCGCCTCCATGGCAGTTTTTATTTTTTAACCCTGAGAAATAAATCATAACACTGAACCGTTGCATATATTCGCCAACTCAGCAGATCTACTATTCACGGTATCCAGGACGGAAGCTCAGCTGACTGTAAAACGTCAGGATAATCCTTCCATTCCAGGATTTCTGCAACGATTACAGAACACCAAGCAGCGTCTGGTTGAAGGTTTATCCACCAATTTTGTGAAGATGACAAAACACTGACGCTGGATTTAGACGATGAGTTATTGTGGAACTAGATAGATGAACAAGCTGCCGTCAATTATGGTTCATACGTATCGAAACTTACAGTTTACCAAACTAAACCGAATTAGGCGATAATAAGCTGACAGCAGTAAACGTTGTGCAGTGCGCTGTGTACAGGGAATATATTAAGACAGCTCTCTTAGCCTCCTGACAGCCGTCCACTAACAGCCGTCCCCTGAGAGCCTCCCTGACAGCCGTCCCCTGAAAGCCTCCCTGACAGCCGTCTCGTGAGAGCCCCTCTGACAGCCGTCCCCTGAGAGCCCCTCTGACTCATGAGACCCATATCACTAACACACACTGTATCATAACGTACATAATCAAATCCAATCCGATCCTCCTCAGAATGCAGCCTGCTGACTTAGACTTTGACTTTGACTTTGTTCCAGCTGCTGGCAGACCCGGTGACCGGCGTGGACACATGCCTGTCCAACCGTACCAAAGGCGGAGGAGACCGTCAGCGTTCCAGAGACTCTGGAGCAAACTGAGCAGCACAAGTACAGAGTATGATGGACAGATGTAAGTACAGAATACGTGTGTGTGTCTACTCATTCTAAAGCTGACATGTAGATTAAACCTGGGTTTATGAGGGGGAATACTAGCATTTGCATTGAAAACTGTGTGCCAAAAGACCACCGCTCTTCACAATATGGCCACGTATTATATTGTGCTGCGAATGATGTTCCTTTTGTTGGTGGTATAATGCCTATATTTGATTACATAATAAAGAAAACTAAAAAACACTAAAAAACACAGGACAGAGTTTTATTACTCGTTGCGTTGTCTATACTAGTCGTATTATTTCTTCACTCATGGTTTCTATGACTGTGCATGGCTGTGTATTATAACTGAGGTACACTTATGCCATCATGTTTGTGCCTTATATTGCAAATGTTAACGTGTTAAGAACGCTGCTCGTGACTGATCTTTCTGTCACATATAAGGAACATTCATAGCACAAGTTCACACTTTAAGCTAAGATTACACTTGCCATACTATGTCCGTACTGTGCACGTATACTGCCCGCAAATCCCATTTTAGTGCTGTATCTGTGATGAGGCAGACGGTTATCGCGTGAAGTCGTAAGAAATTGAACGGATTGACGACCTCTGTAGCCTCTACAATTCGTCAATCTAAACCTTTTGTTTAAATGAAAAGTGTCTCAAGAAGTTCAAAAAAGCTTTTTTAAAAAGCTCAATACAACGTAGGTTGTAGCATTATCGTAGAATGCATCGCACAGTTCCCGTACGGAGCGTTGTTCGGTGGACTAGCGGTGAGCGTGATAAATGTTGAAACTGTTGTTGGTCTCTTTTCCTACCAACTTTGGTGGTTTTAGGAACCATAACAAAAGTAAAGATGTTTAAAATTCACTTTCAAGAATTTGAGGTTGTGTGTTTTCTCATGCTGACCACATGGGTGCTAAAATCGTAGGGATCTGCAAGCACAACGCATCGATCTTCACGAAAGCCGCACGGAAAGTGTATGGCAAGTGTACCGAGACTAGAGGGGGCTCCGTGCGGTCACTTTTCTTTCATGAACCTGATGTTTTCGTTCACGATCTTATGTCATATCATATCTTTAAAATGGCACGGTACCCGCACCTTATGTAAACGTTGTCTCTGTAGCTCTTGCTACTTACGGTGTCATAACATCACACAGAAAACTATACGATTTCAATACACGATGTCCGTGGCAGAAGTCTCTCTGTAGCTCTTGCTACTTACGGTGTCATAACATCACACAGAAAACTATACGATTTCAATACACGGCGTCCGTGGCAGAGGTCATCTGGGCCTAAGATAAATCTCACGGTCATTCGCATGTGTCAATAATCCATCAAAGCGTCCATTATAAAAGAACTCACCTTAGTTGAACTCCACGTGGCTGGCTTTGTTTACATGAAACATTCTCCACATGAGAGCCTCGGTTGAGATTGAATGTATTAATATGGATTTTAATTGAAATGATGCATACCGCCTCAGTGGGAATAAACGCAAAACACATGTATCTTGTGGAACAATATCGGTAACAAACCTGCTGAAAGCGCGGATGATTATGTCCAAACGCGGTTAAAATTCTGGCATGGAGTATTACGTAAAGTGCATAGTGGCAAATTATAAACACAAAACGAAATTGACATAGTTGGTGTGGTGGATCATTTCCACTTACGTCTTAATTCAGTCAATACTCGTTAGGTCTACTTATTCGAAATACTGTGTCGAAACGCGTATTTTCACACTCTTTAGTCTCATGTTGCTAGCCCCGGATAGGATTTTGCTATAGGTGTGCTATAGTATTGACCCTGATTTTATTTTATTATCAATGAAGATTAAATATATTTTTAAAAAGGCACAATGTAGTAAACTTAAGGTCATCGGGTACAGTGACCGTATAAAAGTGTCCTGTGCTTACAGTGATGGTTGTTGCTGTCCACTCTTCAGTTCAGTGCTGTGTTCACTAATGCTGTCTAAGATGCTGTGTGTTACAAACAATGTAATGACATATGTGTTGGTCCTTGCAGTCGAAGGTTATATAAAGTGGTTCACCAGCAATATATTAGATGGACATCAACAACATAAGACGTATTGTTGTTTGGCACAGGGTTTAAATCCCTCACTGCCCGTGACGTACGGGACATACAGCTATGACGTGAAGTCACCCGGGCAGATCACGGAATGTTGCATGGGGTAGAGAATCCTTCCTCATTACCGTCTTGTGCAGGTTTCACCCACACCTGATCCCTGCTAAGTTTTTTTCACAGACTGCAAGCATTAATTAGTCCAATGCTCATTGGCGAGCTTTCTATGCAAAATATATTATTTTCTGGACAGAGAAATATCCAAATACCCGTTGCAGTAGACGGAGGTTGTGCAGAGACTGCTTTATTGGAGTTATTCCCAGGTTTTGTCAGTTGGCTGCTACATTTCAAAGGCGGTGATGTTTTACCTTTGAAAACATCTTGTTAAAACATGTTAGCACAGGTCGCCGTGCTGGAATTCATTGTACTGTTTAATTTCTTTTCACCACCCCTACCCGTGAGTTTATGCGTCCGCAAATGAAGTAATCGACGAATTACATTTCTAGGATATTCGATCGTCTTAATTTGGTGTTTATTGATTTAACTGTCTCCTGTGACTCCCTCCAGACAAATGTTGACTCTCGAACCAATCAGTCGACTTTGAATTTGTTCGAGATCAAATTAATTGTCATTATCCTACTCTCCATTACTTAATTAACATACGGGGGCAGTCAGGGAGTGGGGGCAGTCTGGGATGAAGTTGGGGCCGAGGTGTAGGGAGTGGGGAGCAGTCTGGGATGAAGTTGGTCGGGGGGGACAGTCAGGGAGTGGGGAGCAGTCTGGGATGAAGTTGTGGGGGGGGGGNATCCTACTCTCCATTACTTAATTAACATACGGGGGCAGTCAGGGAGTGGGGGCAGTCTGGGATGAAGTTGGGGACTGGGTTGGGCAGGGAATGAAGGCAGTGAAGGCTGTGTGTATAGGGACCCGCGTTCCTTCATACCCAGATTCTATTTGTAATATCCCTTGTCCATGTATGATGTATGATAGATAAGATTTCTGAATGCTAAATAGTATCTAGAAATATGTTAATTATTAAACTGATAAAGCAAGGTGAGCCATATTGTTTCAATGTTGAGGACCATTTCCAAATAAATTTGTTTAGAATATTCTTCTAATGAATGACTCAGTAACTTTGCGTGTTTCGAAACAAAGTGACTGCAATAACTTGACCTGTAAATTGATTCCATAATTATACATGTTGAAGAGACATGTAATTAACGCACCTATCTGTATAATAGAACAAAATACTTAATGTTATGTATCATTATACTTTTGTGATTAAAGTTGAATGGAAATATAAATATAAAAATTGGATTGATAAGTTTTATGGTTGCCAATGCAAAAAAAAAAAAAAAAAAAAAAGAGTTAGGAAAACTGAAAACTGATTTACAGCTGGAATGGAAAGATGAAGGAGCGATTGTTGGCAGGTTACTTCTGCTGCAATATGATGTTCAGAAGCATCATGATGGATAATTTTCTTATTAACACATGGCGTAACGCTTCTTAATGTGAACGCGGCCATTAGTTCTCCTTTCAGCACGCATTAATAAATCGTCTGACTGTATTTCATAATAAAAGCTTCATATGTCTCTGTCATGTCTAGATGTGATTTAAGAAATATATCTGCACCTAATATCTGCGTCGTCGCCTGCACCTGGTCAGCGTCCGTCATCGTGAACCGTTTCCCCTTCTTCCCCCCCGTCACTCAGCAAGTGTATTGATTTTATTATGATCCTTTCACTCGTGTTTAGCTTACCAAAGAAAGCCTCGCATTTCTGCCTCTCTTTCTCTCACGGTTCTGTACTCTTTAAACAAAGGAATATATTCAATAGAAATGGAAGGTGCAGTGCAAGCCCGATATATGCGCAGATTATATAACTATATGTAAGCGACCACTACACGTTATGGAGTGAGATCAGAGAGACGCTGAGGGTGAGATGTGGACACCGTGGACAGTAGTGGACATTGCGGCGTTAAATTCCAGGGAGAACTTGCCGTTAAAGTGATGAGTGTGGAGGGGGTTATCATCAGGACGGCAGACATGGCGCCGTGGACGCCCCCTAGGACCACTCCTAGTACTGGTGCACTGTAAGTACAGCCTGGGGTGGGGGTGGGGTGGGGGTGGGGTGGGGGTGGGGGTGGGGTTGGTCCCGGGGGGGTGGGGGATGTGACGGGAGGAGTGCACCTGCCCAATGTCTACACATTTCATGTACTCGGCGCTTCTAAAGACGGCATAAATCACAACTTTTCTTAACTTCGTTATATTGCCTCTTACATATATTTTATCTGCAGTTCAATAAGATATATTATATATAATGTAACCCAGGCCCGTAGCCAGCTATTTGAAAGGGGGGTCTCTTTCTGAAAAAGTGGACCTTTTACCATATAATCCCCATGTACCTAGGTCAAATTTTACCCAGAGTGGACCTTTTTCCAGCAAATAGGGGCGTTCTTTCGAACCCCTCGAACCCCCCTGGCTACGGGCCTGTAACCGTATAGCACAGAAGGGGGTTAAGACTCAGGGAGTGTGGCACGCTGGCTCAGACTGGACCCGGGGGTGTCTCGTGCCAGGACTTAATGCTGACGTCCCCAGGGAAGCAGGTATTAGAGAGAGGTTAGTAATAGGGGTATGTAAGGTAGGGTGACGTCACAGCGACCTTAGGGAGGCCATTCGTTGGGGGAGGAGTGCGCTAGGGACTCAGAAACATGGTTGTATACAGACAGACGGTCATATCTTTATACGTTCATCTATCCAATGATATTGTCCATTGTGCATGTTTTTACTCTAGTTTCTCTGGATACAGAGATGTTTAGATTGATATTTGCGCGTGTTTTGTTTTTCTTTCAAATCAGTGTTTATTTTCACGATGCTAACGACTCGTTTCGTGAACTCTATCCGCTTAAATCATGTATAGAAGATGTAGCGGGTATATCAAGT